GGGGGGGGGGGGGGTTGTCATTTCTTCAACTGAAATTGTGAACACATAAAAATGGGGGTGGGATTGTCAATAAAAACTTATGTACACCGTTTAAGACAATTGACTTTGTTATAGAAAGGTCTATCAGTGATACATTTCAAAGCATTCAAGTACTGCTTCAAGATACCCCATTTATCTTTCCATTTCTTTGACCAGAAATAGATTACCATTTATAATCAAAAGATTATCTAAACTAGACATTCACAATTAGAAGTTTTCTGATCAGTAAATAAGTCAGGCCTATGTTTCAGTACAGCACTTCTTGTTATTTTCTATGCTCAGTATACTAAGTCCAATTTAAAACACTGTACAGCAATTGAACTCTCTATTTCAGTTTGAGGATCTTACAACAATGTACGTAAAAGGTATTGAAAGGGTTAATTAAACTAGAAGCGGTGCAATTTATGACAACTGATCCATTGCCTCTAAAACCCCAAACCTCAAAAGCACTTTGACGTGATAGGGTCAAGAAATCTGTTTACCTGTATTGTAGTGGATGCTTTCATTTTCATTTTCTTTTCTTGCATAACGTTAAGCCTTTCATTTATCAGAGGCTAAAATAGGTGAAAACAAAATTAATTCATTAATGTTTTCTGTTACTCTCTCTCTCTCTCTCTCTAGACATTCAATTTTACAATCTAAGAAGATAAAAAGTCGAAAAAAAAAAAACAAACATAAGAAAGCAACCTTATTATTACATTTTGAGAGAAATAAAAACTGTTTATTGAAATGTTTTTCTCCTCTCAGTTTTTCCAATTGTCTGCATTGAAGTCATTCACGTTATCTACTTTCTGTCTAAAATTAAATCTAATTATATATTTTAATTTTCATTCAACCTTTCACAAAACATAAAATATCTTTAACATTACACTACTATTATAAATTATTTACAATATCTTTAGACTATCATGGAGTTGCCATTTTGATTTCAACAAAAAGCATGCACACAAACACACACACAAAATAAAAAAAATGCAAAACATTTTGAAAACATAAAAATTAAATAAAAATTAAAACAAAAAAAGCAGAGAAGTTTGACTTGCCCTGACTTTCTTCCTTGTAAGGTAGCCTCTTGCAGCAGCTTGAAGAGAGATGATATTCTTCTGCTTTTTCCTCAGTTCATTTGCTACCTTTCTGGCTAGCCAACACCTGACTGCAGATTGTATCAGTATGACTGATTGTTTCAAAGCCAAGTAATGTCTCCGGGCCACGAACGTCTTGAATGCTGTGTATATCACCAATGCGGCTCTTAGCTTCTTTAACCTTGTCCTCAAGATAAACAGATGGAAGGTCCTCTGGATAACACATGCAGCATGATGTCTAGTTTCAGCCTGTCTCCTTAAGTAGCCCCGGAATGCTTGTTGAATGATGCAAGCGGCAGCCTCTTGGGTTCGTCTCTCCACTTGCTGTTGCTTCAGGGCTATGAAGGCTGTCAACACTTGTACCGCACAGTTGGTCTGAACAAATGCAGATCGTTCCTGGAGCATCCTCAGATGCGCTTGGATTTTAATGACTGATTTCTCTTTCACCATTTTCCTATAAGCCAACCACACACGTAGCACTGTCTGAATTTTTATAACACTTTCCCGCATTGTTAAGTATTGATGCCTGTCTCTTTTCATCTGTTGTTTGCATCTTATTGTTCTCTGCATCCATATTACTCTACCTCTGTCATCAAAATATTTCTTTCTTATTATTAATGCTCTGATGGAAGCCTGCAATCGGATAATTTTTCTCAAATCACAAAGATATCTTTGGCGCTGACATTTCATCCTATACATGTTTTGAATTTTAACTATCACATCTTGTCTGGTCAAGTACACTTTACGGCAAAGCCTACCATCTAATATTTCTCTCCATCGTCGTTGAATGATGGTTGAAGCAAGCAACATTCGTTCATACCTCCTACGATACACAAAACCTTTGATCCTGCACTGAAGCAATAAAATAGATTGTGAACATCTCTTGTATTTCAATCTTGCACTGTAAGACCTCGCATATTTCTGAATCACCACTGCTGCTGCTTCTTTTCTCTCCCAATCTCTCACTTTCAAATAAGCTCTAATACACCTTTGCAAAACACCAGCAGCTCTCTCTCTTCTCATTTCTTCCACCTTTTTCTCGACTTCCAGCCTTTCCCTCTCTTCTTTTCTTTTGGCCACTAATCTTTCCTCCTCTTGTCTTCTCTTCAGCTCTCCTTCCTTCTCGACTCTCAAAGTATTCAATTTTCTTTTTGCTTCTCTAATAGAACTGAAACTTCTCCATTTATTCTCAATGAGTCTCACTGACCTTTTAATTGTTTCCACTTCTCTTCTCACAGCTTTGCCAGCTAGTAGCGCTCTAAATCTTCGCTGGCAACAAACAGTGGCTGCACGGAGAAACAAAAAGTCTTGTCTGTGGCTCCAGCCACGAAACAAAGCTTGAACTTTAGTGGCAGCCAATTCCTGGATACACAGCTGTCTTTGCATTTCTCTACATACAAGGACGGACCTGTAAAATGACTGTAGAGTTACAGCAGAGCTTTTCATCAACAAGAACTGCTCTCTCAAAACTCTGCCTAATATTGTAGCTCTGTACTTCCGCTGGATTGTGATTGCAGCATGCCTCTGTTGTAAATAGCGCTTTCTGGTTTGGTGACCACGGATGAAGGCTTGAATTTTGACAATCAAACAACACACATTTTTATACTCTTGTCTCAGCTTGTAGGCTCTGAAAGCACATTGGATAGCACTAACTGCTCGCTTTTTCTCCAAGAAAGCCTGCCTTAAATTTTTAGTTTTTTTATACTCCCTATAATGATTTTGTATCACCAAAACGGCATGTTTTGTAGCAACAAATTTTTTCAGCGCAATTCTTCTTCTGAAAGCTTTTTGTATTAAAACGGCAGCAGTCACACGTTTTTCTTGCCTGTCTGCTAAAAGTCTGCGCCACGTTCTTTGAACGGTGACTGTAGCCTGCATGTAGGACAAGTATTGTTGTCTGATTTTCCTACCCAAACGATAATTCCTGTACCCTCTCTGCACTATAATGGTAGCCAGCTTGAGAGCCAAGTATTTTATTCGGCGTCGGTAGCATCTAAAAGCTGACTGTATCACCACAGCAGCTTCCACCATCTTGCAGTACCGCTGTCTCTGAGACTTAAATCTCCACCATTTCTGAATCAGAATTGCCGCCCGTCTTTTTCGCAGGAACTCGGATCTTTGTTTAGTAGCCAAGAGATTGGCTCTATACCAGTCTTGTATGATTAATGTAGCTTGTTGTGTGCGGCTGTATCGCTGCTTGGCTTCAACCATTCTAAAGAAAGCCTGCAACACAACAGTGGCTCTTTTCTTCTCCACGAAGGCCTCCCTTGCCATAAATCTTTTCCATGATTTCTGTATCAGTATTGCAGACTTACACTGTTTTTCTGCCTTTAACTTCTCTAGTTGTCTATGTTCTTGAACCGACTTCCAGGCTCTTTGCAACGTGACAGCAGCTGCTCTCATTACTAAATAGCATTTTCTGCATTTCCATCCCCGATAAACTCTCTGTATGTGTATAGCAGCCGTTACTTGCTCTGCATGTTTCAGTTTGTTTAAAATTCTCACAGCTGTCAACATTCTCCAATATTTCTGAACAGCGATGGCTGCCCACCTCATCATGAGATAACATTTCTTTGACCGATGTCCTCTGTAATATCTTTGAATGGTGACCGCTGCCTGCTCTTGGCGTAATCCTCTCAGTCTTTTCAACTCTCTCTTCGCCAGCTGCATTCTCCAGGTCTTTTGAATAACCGTAGCAGCCGATCTCAGTTTCTGAAATTCTTTCCTATGCAAATACGATCTATATGTTCTTTGAATGACAGTAGCACATTCTGTATGTCTTATTGCTACAAGTCTTTCACGCTCTCTCTTCGCCAGGCATACCCTCCATGCCCCTTGTACCACAACAGCGGATCTTTTCAATGATATAAACTCTTTTTTGACCCTCCACCCTCTCCAGAATTTTTGAACAACGAGTGCAGCCCTGGTGTCTCTCAGGGTTCTCAGGTGAGCAGCTTCTCTCTGGGCAAGAGTTCTTCTCCAGTTCTTCTGCAGCGTAAGTGCCGAATCCCTTTTCCTTACAAACAGTTTGCGTTGAGCAAATGCTTTCAGGGCACACTGAACCAGAGTGGCTGCCCTGTCCAGCCTTTCAGCTTTGAGCCCTGAAAGTTTCTGCTGGGCCAAAGCTCTTCTCCAGTGTTTCTGTAAGACGGTGGCAGCGTGTCTCTTCCTCAAAAACATTTTACGATATGAAATGCTTTTCATTACGCTCTGCACTGTAGTGGCTGCTTTAGCAATTCTGCCCTGTCTGTTATTTGACAGTTGTCTCTTGGCAAGGGTTCTCCTCCAATTCTTTTGTAAGATAATGGCAGCCCTTTTCTTTCTCAGGAATGCTTGGCGGTGAATCACACTCTTCAGGAAACTCTGCACAATTGTGCAGTATTTATTATTTCTTTCAAGCTTAAGGCTGTCAAGTTCTTTCTTAGCCATGGCACGTCTCCAGTGTTTTTGCAAAACAATGGCAGCACGTCTCTTCTTTAAAAACAGCTTTTGGGCAGCCACTCTTTTCAAGACACTTTGAATCAAGATGGCAGCACTGTTAGTTTTTTCATTTCTTAGTCTTGCCAATTCTTTCTTGGCTTTTTTGACTCGCCAATAAGTTTGCAGCACCAGAGTGGAATTCCTCATTTTCTTAAACTGCTTCTCCAGGATTTTGCCCCTAATGACCTTCTGAATGAGAATGGCAGCCTTGTTTTGTTGATCTACTTTCAGATGATAAAGTTTCTTCTTGGCTTGCAACATCCTCCAGTTTTTTTGAATTACTAGTGCTGCCGCCCGCATTGAAGACAACCTCTTCATACAAAGATATCTTTTCATCCACCTCTGGATAGTTAAAGCCGACTTTTTGTGAAGCTCCAGTCTGAGTTTTTGAACTCTTTTCTCAGCATTAAGCCTCCTCCACACAGCCTGAATGGTCAGTACAGCAAACCTTTTTCTTTCAAATTCTCTACGAGTTCTACAAGCTCTAACAAACTTCTGTAATACAACGGCAGCTTTCTCTCTTTCCTCGAGGTCTACCCTCTCCTGATTCTCCACTTTAAGTTTGGCGAGCTGACGTCTGGCACAGCGTGACCGCCAAAGATACTGAAGTTTAACAGCTGCTTGTTCCCTCTGCAGTCTCAATTTGGCAATTTGTTCATGCTCCTTAAGTCTGCTGGCCTCTCTGCGCGCCATGTAGCCACGCCACCGTGCCTGCAGGCAAACTGCAGCTTTCTCTCGTCTTTCAGAAGACATCTTGGCTAAATGAAGCCTGATCCATCTTTGTATAGTTACAGCAGCTTTTGTCCTTAGCTGTAAATAAATTGATAAAATGATAGGTTGCTTTAAATTTAGTAAATTCATTTAGGTACAAAACTAATAGTAACTGTGTGATAATCATTAGATGCTACATTTGCCTTACTTGACAGTTGAAATGGCCAAGGGAAGGTTATGTTGCTAACTAAATGACTAAAACTAAACGTAGAGATAAAATGACTTGTACAATTTTTGGAAGAAAAAACAATATTTGTGATGGGTGCCCAAAATTGTTACCTCTCTTTTCTTGACTGCAAGCTTCAATTGTCGCCTCCTCCAGAACATTTGGATAATCCTTGCGGCCTTGACCTCCTCTCTGATGTCAAGTAGTCGAGCACACATGTAGGACACATAGGTCGATACAACCTTTTCATCAGGGATTGTGTTGGACATATCAGCACACCTAAGCATTAAAGGAACGCCACCCAGCTCAGACACCTGAAAATTGTTAAGTAGTTTTAGAAAAATCATGACACTGTAATTGTAGCTAATAAGTGAAACAATTACATAAACATTTCGTCACCAATAAATGGATATAGCAGGATTCTCATAGACTATTTGTGTGTTTTAATGCACACTAGAAAATTAAGAAATATCTGAATTTCAGAGATAAATTTTTCTTACCTTTTCATATAAGGTTTTAAAGTTGGCTTTTTCATTCGCTAGAAGCTCTTCAAACATTTCTGGGTTGTTTTCTAATTAAGATGCAAAAAAATGAAAATAATACTTTTTACAAAATTAATCATGTTTCAAAATAAAATACAATCCATTACAGAAACTACATCAAATGTAAACATATCCTTAGAGACGGACAAAATGCACACACAAGGAAAACAAGAAATAATTCAAGGATTGTGCACAAAAAACGATGCTATTCAATTTATGCAAACACACCACCCCCCCCTTCCCCCGTGCAGTATCTGAGAGAGAAAAAGTAATTAACAAATTTATTTTTAAATTACCATTTGCCATCAAGCCACCTCCATGGCCCCAGTCCATGCTTGAATCTGGGTCAGTAACCACCTGACACTGATCTTCTGCCTCCTGCTGGAAACTGACCGTTGTATGGAATTTGATCTCAGACAAAGGAAGCAACGCTGGGTGATAGTGGTGGATAAGGCAGCAGAGGGCTCTGCCGTCAGAGAAAGACACTGTGAAGTTTTCAACCTGAAATTATGATCCACACAAATTCAAACATTTCTTCGTCAGATGTACTCATATCGTTTTAATAGTTCCCTTAAGTTTCGTTTATATGACAAAACAAGTCTCGTACAATATTCTTTCAAAAATAATATTGTAAAAAAAAAAACAACAACTTTTATTATGTTAAAATGTTTTTAAAGACAAGTAACATTGTTAAAATATAGTGATTTATTTTTATATATACCGTTTGGGAGTTATTAACCAAAATAATGTAAAGTTCATAATATGTTTACAGCGTAGAAAAATACCAGTGAACTATTTACTGTTGGACTAATTAAAATTCTGTATAGTTTAAAAAACTGGAAAGAAATTATTCTTCTTCTTCTTCTATATCTGAAGGACCCAGGATCAATTTATTGATCATTTTGGCTCCTATGCATGTAGATGGGATTTGCAATGGTGTTGATGAGGAAATTTCACAGATTTTCAGTGCCACTTTGTGAGGGAATCATGCACAAGTGGTTTGAAGGCTTGAGGCAATAGACACAAATGTGTCTAGTGTTGTCGCCTCAACCGTTCCTTCGTGATCAAGAAAATGTTACTTACAGTGACTCCATAATGTAAGCAAACTAGGCGACACCACTGGAAAATCAACTGTAGTCTCTCATTTTCCATCAAAAGTTGAGTCCCTCCAGAATCTCTTCGTGCTGTTGAAGGTAAGATATTAAGACATAACCTATTTATCAGTCAAACCAGTGGTTAGCTAACTCATTAGTCAAAAGAGACAAAAATCAGCAGCAGAACGATTAAAAAATTTTTGAGAGCCAAATTTTATTTTTTGTCAAGAACCATGCTTTTTGGAGTCAAAACCGATTTGTGGCCGACTGGCCAAGCCGCACTCAGCTCGTGCAAGGGCAACATGTGGCTCACAAGCCGTGGTTTGCAGACCAACGAGTTAAAACATCCACAAGCAGTTTTTAAAAGAGTTTTTTTTGTGTGGTCTTGTACACTGTCCTTGAGTTTCGAAATAGTCATATTTCAATAATTTGACATAAGAAGGTTATAAGATTAGATTTTAAGTAAATTTATTTATAAAGATCACAAGAATTTTTTTTTATATATACTGAAGTCATTTTGTTATAGAGATAAGAAAACTGCAGGACATATTGAAAACAATAGAAAAGTCAAATCATACCTTGACAGCCTTCTTTGGATAGTACTCCAACCTTCTGCATGGCAAGTTTGAGCTGGAGTGATTTAATGAGCATGTCAATCTCTTCTTTCAGGTGATCCATATTGACTTTAATGGAACACTGTAGGCGAGACAAGGTAAGTCACAAAATTGTCAGAACAGACTTGATGTGTCTTGAAAAATAATAATCCTATTCTTCCGGATAAATAACAATTAAAACTTAGAAAGAAACAAACAGTATACAATTAACTTTAAGAAGTTAAATTTGTCAATGGTAAAAAGGGGGAGAAACTGCAATCAGGTTAGCAAACAAAGGAAATTAGTTTCATTCATTTCCTAATTTGTCACTGTCAGCTTATAAAGTATTGCCCTAACAATTCCTCAGCATACAGAGAGCTACTGGGTACATTAAAATTTTTATAACCAAACTTAAGCTAAACAAAAGAACCTAATTTTTTTTTTTGAAGGGGGGGGGGGGGGGGGGAATTTTTATATGGTAATAAAAAAAATCATAGTGGAACAAAAAAATAATTTTAGCATGATAGGACCATATCAAACTTATATCAAATTAATAACACTTTAATTTGATGAATGTTCAATATATAAATTAAAATTTAATTATCCTTTGAAGTTGACACTATTTTATTTAAGCAAACCAGAATTACACAAAATTTGATGGTAATGATAAATTCTGTCATACAAATGTTTTCTCTACTTCATCACACTTAGAAAGAGTAACTAAAGATTGGGAATGTGCTGAGCTCTTAATGAACAGTAAGCCGACTTACCTGGAAATGAATTATTAGATGCCATAGTAGCAGCAGTGTTTTCTCCCTGTGTCCATCAACAATATCTTTTGGCGTAACTGGGGTTTACAAGACAGATACATAATTACAGGAATTTGAATAACGTAAAATTATTTGGTTTTCTATTTATGCTAGCAAATATTTAAAAAATTAAAAGTTCATTGTAAAAGAAATACTTAAATTTCTACATAATCCAATGAAATCAAGATATGTAATTTTTTGTTTTGACATCAATTAAGAACAGTAAAGGCTTTTAAAATGAAGATTTAAAAAGAATGAAGGTTACAGTACCTTGGGATTTGCTTAAATCCATCTTCCTTTCAGCCATTGCCTCAAAAAATTGCTTTACATTGTGTTGTTTCTGTAGCAGGCTAATGGCAGGAGTCCGTAGTTTAGACATGATAGTTTTATTACCTGCAAGTAGCTCTATGATGCGACTGTAAGCAAGAACCGTTATAAGTATAATATATTAGCTTTTGTATGATGAATATGTAATACAATGTCAATCATAATATTTCTAATATATATATGATCAAACTGTAGCAAGTGCATATATTGTTTAAACTAAGCTTTCAAATACTAACCAAAACAAAAAGGCTTTCACTTAGTAAGAAATAGTATGTGTATGGACACACTTGATTCAGATATATACCTTAGCCTAAGTCCATCTCTCAGATCTGCACTCAGAGTTTTAACTGCAAAATCAAATTCGTCGATGGACCTTTGAGACTGAGTTACAATGTACCCGAGGTAGGCCAAGTGACGAGTAAGGTCTCCCTCTCCACTCAAAACCTCTCTTGAAAACTCTATCAGAATTTCTTTGCTGGACTGCCATTTTTAAATAAAATTATTTAAAATAAGTTAAAATAGAAACTTGTTTGAGAATAGAGCAAGTTATCTAATACTAATACATTGCAATTTTCTAAACAAAAAAAAACAACAAAAACAAATGAGGGATATGATATTGAAGTTTCTCCTAAAAAATAAACAACCTTTGTGTGATAGTTTTAAATTGTGGACGATGACAACAAAATTGTTTTCCACTGTTCTGTAGGGTGCAACATAATGTAATAACAGCCTTTAAGATCTGATGCACTTTGATCTCCCATGTAAAGACTAAACATTGACACACAACAGTTAATTCTGCTTATGTACCTTGATGTCAGCATCCTTACAGAATAAGCATGGGTCGTGGTCAATAAGATGGGAAGATTTGGCTTGATCCAGGAAGTAAACTAGCAGTAAAAACTTTTTAATTGTGTGTCTTGACAGAGCAGCTGCATAACCTGGAAGATGTAAGAATAAAGAAAAAGGTAGGACCTAATATTAAAGGGTATTAAAAAAAAAAACAAAAAAAAACAACATATTTAATGAATTTTAACCCTTTGAACCCTTGGCCATAAAATACCCATGTCCCTGGGCTCATATGGGAAAATTTCCACAAACAGACTAGCAAAAATTTAAAAAAAAAATAAAAAAATCAGTGATTATAAAATTATATTATTTCAATCAAAATTTTTCCATTACTATTATGCAAAGGTATGACAGGGAGTGATTGTCTGAGAATCGGTTTAGAGTAGCATTGTAGGTCAATTTCACACCCTTGATTTTCATAAAAACTAGGGATAGGACTAGGGTTAGACTTTGTTTCATTATTTCCAAAGCACACATTCCATCAGTTGAATAGTTGGACCTATCATTGTCTATCTACTTTATTATAATCCTTTTTCAAATATGATAATAATCCTCTGAATCATTCACATAATCATCAACCTGCTCTGGTTTCTGTCTGTTAGAATAATAATTTTTACATTTTCATCATCTCCAGAAAATATTACTAAACCATAACAAAAACAATGCATCCATGGACTCAGCCAATACTGCGACCTTTCACACGTCACATGGTAAACCCTGAACTCAGTATTTACAACACATTTTTAAGTATAGACTGTCGATCTATGGGATACCAAAATATTGGTCTGGCGGGGTATGGATTTGTAACACGCAGACCGATAAAGCGGGATTGCAGGTTCAAAGGGTTAAAAAAGAAACTGCTAACCAATGAGGTAGATCTGAAAAGCCAATGAGTTTATATGAGTATTGTCAAAATGAAATGTACCTTCTTTGTACAAGTGAGGTACAGTGGGATGGGCAAATTGAGCTGCAATGTCTGGAGACGCCAGCAGTCTTGTGACAATAAACCTGGAGAGGCCTACAACATCAGTGTTGGACTGTAGCATAACCACCTCACCGAAGATCGTCTTAAAATAAATACAAAATTAAACATTAATTGTTTTTTTTATAATTATAGATACATTTTTACTAACTTCTTCATGACCCCATGCAAAATCTACAACCTTTTATAATAGAAAAAAAGGCAATGGCTACCTCATTATCTGTTAATAATTTAGATTTTAAAAGATTGCAATTATGCATGATAAAAAGATTTCTTCAGAAGTATCTTCATTTTATTCACAAATTAACCTATCAGCTATTTCCCCCCAAAACAACTGCTCATCATATTAGTTATGGCACCTTTCCCATGAGCCTTTTGCAGGGCATTGTCTAAGAGCGTGTACAAATTAATTTGCACAGCCACCTTTCTAATGACAATGTTTTGCTCAAAGCATATCAGTTTACACTAAAAAATGTTTCTAGCACGTCAACACTACACCTGTTAACGAAATTCATAAAAGTAAATGACTTGCTATGCTCCTATGTAGTTTTATATTGTTGCGTCTGTTTTTTAAATGTGGTAAATTTTAGATTGTTTTTTATTTCTCGTTTTAATATGTTTGACTTTGTACCGCGCTTCGAGCTTTTGGGGATGAAGCGTGTTTTTCAAATAAACTTTACTATTATTATTATTTAACATTGGTTGTCATTCTAGTCCCATGGCTACCTGCCTAATCTTTCCTTCAACTTCTCTTTTTTTTCCTGGGTGCAGTACTATAACAGTTTTTGAGCAACTGATTAAAAAAAATGTACACTACAGTTTTCAAATTTCACAATTGTTCAGACTAAAGAACTATTCAGAAAGTTAATCCCACTCAGATCTTGTTAAGAGCAACACATTTTAATTATTCTATTTCCCATTTGATATTTGAGTGAAGAGAAAAGCACAGACCTCCAAGCCAATTCGCAGCCATAAAGAGCTGTACTGGAGCAATAAGTCCAAGAGACGTTGCTTGACTCCTGAAATTGAAAATATCTCTTAAACAGAATGTAATGAAAAAAAAAAGCTGTTATAAATTTTAAAAGATCAGTCAAGCAGTGAAAATATGGAAAAAATATGTTAATGTAAACAAAATATTTTAAAGCTACAGAGAGGACATATATTTGGCAGCTCAAAAGAATGTTGAAACTCAATCATTTCAGTTTTTTTTTTATCACAATGAACAATCAATAGAAAACTTTGGTCTATGCTATTTTATTAACTATTAAAAAAAAAGAGGAAAATAATAATTATTTTTAAACATATCAATTGATTATTTTTCTTTGATAAAGTATGTTGTAGATAACCTTTCCCCTTCAATATTTTGATCTCCTTCAATATGTCCTTGTAAAATGAAATGCTTTTATGTCTGTGTGTGTATCTTACCCAAATCAGCGTGAACCATTTTGTCTTTGCGAACTGCTAGTCTCCTACTCTCAACCTCCACCTCAATCTTGCAAATTATATTCACAATTGGCTCAGATTGGTACAGTTCACAAGCTGCCCTGCGCAGTTGGTTCAGTCTTCTTCTGGCAGCATATGCTCTAAAAGACAGGATCTCTTTGGTGGGAGCAAGCCTTGGTGCTACCTGGCGATTGTCCAGGGCTAAGGAGTGGGCATCCACTGAGGAAAAATAAGTCTTAGCAATGTGAGGAATTTATGTTCATTTTCCACTTTAAAGCAGTATTTTAAACCAGTAAATATAACTACCATTAATTGAAACACCAGATCATGGGAATGATATCTTTGATTTAAAACCTACAAAATCTGAATCACTTCTTTTTAACATACTAATGTAGAAATTACTTTTCAACAATCAAAATTTGCAGCTAAAGATCTAACTTTAAATGGAATCTAAGTGATATTTAGTTAATAATTTATACTAGCATAAACTAAAAGATAATGTTAAAAGTAATTTGATTTCTCTAAACTATCAACACAAATATCAGTGACTATCATCACCTTTTGCCTTGGTTGTGACAGCCACATATTCATCAGGTGGAGTTAGGACAAAGTTTAACCACTGGACAAATCCTCGTTCCTGTTTTTCCACCCACCTCTCATCATAGTACATATTTCTGGCAGCGAAAGGCATAGGATGTCTTGGTGCCCCTGAATTAGCACAAATCAATACATTCAAGATTTTAAAAAATAAAATTTTTTTAATGAAAAAAAAAACAATACAAATTTTTACTCCATTAGTTCATTCATGAGATAAAATAACCCAATGAAAATGAAAGTCATAGCCAGAGCCTCTACCCTCATCCTAAAGATTTGCCTCATAGTTAATTACACAATTATATTTTATTCCAACAGCAGGATAAATTTGCATATTTGAATCATATTAAATATTTCTTAGTTTCTAAGAATTTGAATCATCATCATCCAGATCCAGTGGCCATTTGGGTACGTGCTCTTCAGCCATGGTGAAGAATTCACTCACTCTCTGCAGCTGTTTGTATGTAGGGTAATACTGTAATCTAGTGCGTTTGGTAGGTAGTTAAGACTTATGTTCTGAAGTGCCGGGCAGTGGAAGAGGCTATGTTTTACTATCTTATTTTCATGTCTGCAAGGGGGAGCAAATTGGTGTTTGATCTGATTTTATGAGGTTTAGGTGGGAATTTAGGTGTGTGTCCCGTGTCCACAGGCAAAATATAACAACCTGTTTGTGTCTTTGGAGGAAATTTATTGGATCTTTTTAGGTCTAGACTGGACACATCTTCCTGTTAAATCCACAGCACATCCATTTAACCGCTCTTATTTTTTGTTAGCTCAGATTATCTGCTTTGCAGTGTTGAGTGATGTACCGTAGCTTGTTTGGCTGTTCAGTGAATGCGCCCTGCTATGCTAGTTTGTCTGCTCCTTCATTTCCTGGAATATTGTTGTGTTCTGGTGTCCAGTGTAAGGTCAGCTTGACTGCAGAGTATGCAAGGAAAAGGTTTACTTTCACAGGTAGTGATTTTAGTAAATTTTACTGTCATGAGATCCTCAAACTCAGTTGCCTCAAGTATTGATTTACAGTCGGAGAAGATGTTTGCTGGGATAAATTGTGAAGATTGGAGATAAGGGGTGTAACGCTGCTTCAATAGCAGTCACATCTGCTTCATAATTACTGCAGATCGCCTTGGGTACTATATTCGTAAACCATAGCCTGTATGTAGGGCTCCTCTCAAAGCTGACCCATCTGTGTGCCGTATTTTCTGGCGTATAAGATGACTTTTTAACCCATGAAAATATTTTCAAAAGTCGGGAGTCATCTTATACGCTGGGGGTCATCTTATAAGGTGGCATACGGCGTGCTGAAACTTCAGGGACAGGCGTCCTCTAGCGATGATTATTTTTTTTTAAATTTCATACATCAAGTTCCCTGTTGGATGTTTTGTACATGTTAATGAAAAAGGCTGGATGGATGAAGAAGGGGTAAAGCTATGGCTTGATATGTATGGAGCAGGCGGACTTATTCAAAAACGTATTCTACTGGTGTGGGATATCGTCAGGGCTCATTTGACTCCCAGCATCAAACAAAGGCTGGCAAGGATCAACACAGATGCGGCTGTTATTCCTGCAGGATTGACATCGTTGGTACAGCCACTGGATGTGTGCCTAGGATTGACATCGGTACAGACACTGGACATGTGCCTAGGACTGACATCGTTGGTACAGCCACTGGATGTGTGCCTGAACAAACCAATTAAAGATCCCAATCGAGAACAGTGCGTAAAGTCATTCACAAAAGAAGAAAACATGCGTGCTCGACAGTTGGATGTTTTGTGCAGGTTTGTCATAAAAGCCTGGAATGATATTGATGCAGAAAAAGTAATCAAGTCTTTCAAGAAGTGTGGCATATCAAATTCATTAGATGGTATGGAGGACGACTACTTGTGGCAAGATGAAGAGGAAGCTGAAGCTGAGACCACACCATCTGATACGGAATTAGATCCATACGATGACTGCCTTACAAATGTATCACAAGATGTCATTGATGTACTGTTACTTATGATATCAGATGACAAACTTGCCCCGCACTTGCTCTCTCTCTATTGTTTGTTATTTTCCTCCTATCATCATCAGTTCCAGTTTGGTTGACAGCTTAGAAAACAAACAGCATGGGCAGCTCCCATGGGTTTATTGTCTCATCCTTTCAGCTTTAGAGTGAATTGGGAAAAGTTTAATCCACTTACACTGTTTTATGTTTACATGTTTGATGACCAACAGCCTTATGCTTATAAGTGACAGTTTTCCTGCTAAGTATCTGCATGTCATAAGCATTTGAATTAAAATACCATAATGAAATCAAATCTGCTGTTTTTTTAATTTGGTGTGCTTTGGAAGAAGGGTAGTCTTATACAGCGAGTATAGCCCAAACCCTATATTTTCAGGAAAAGTAGGGATCGTCTTATACAGCCAGTCATCTTATACACCGGAAAATACGGTATATTTGGATTATATCCTCTGGGTAGGATGCTATGATTTTTTCTGCAACTATCATTTGATGTAATGGGTCTGAACTTTTCTATCTTTTTTTATTAGGACTGTTTTGATATAAGCTGTTTGTAAATCTTGGTTTGGGGATAGGTCTTTTGGTATAATTTGAAAGCCTGTTTGAAGGTGGTTTCTCTCCAATTTCAGAAGCCTCGTCTAGTATTGATTTCTGTTGAATTCTAAGCTTTGGTCTACATTTTTCAACCATTTGTCTATTTAGATGTATTTGTCTGGCCTTCTGTACCTGTAAAACACCTTGATAACTGCTGCCTCTCTTATAAGATTTAGTGGCTTAATATTAGTATGTATTTTGCATGCTGCTGTTGGGGTAGATCTTAGAGCTCCCAAGATAAGACCATCGGTGAACGCTCCTTCTACTTCCATGGACCCACGTTCTGGAACCAGCTCCCCTTCCATATCCGTCATTGTGAAACCTCGTCCACTTTTAAAAAGTCCCTTAAAACCCATCTGTTTAGGTCCTCCTTGCCCTGCCTCATTTTCTGTCTCGGGTTGATCCTGTAGTATAGGCCAAAACGTGCCAAAGTGTCCTCGTTTTATAGCCATTTTAATTGTTTCTATAGTGTAGTAGTTACTATCCTAATGTCTCATTTTTATTTTACTTAGTTTACATGTTTTTAATAATTGTAAAGCGCTTAGAGCTTTAAGGTAAGCGCTATATAAAAAATGCCTAAATAAATAAAATGGATTGCAGCAAGAATTTGAATAAAACATTGGATAAAAATTATCAAAAAATTATACTTAATGTGATTCATTTTTCTGTTAGTATTTATTATAGAAAAACATGCTATGTGATGTCATGTGCCAGTCAGACAGTCACCAGACAACTAAGAACTAAAAAAATCACTAATGATAATCTACCTGTTTTTGGTTTCTTTACCAAGATGAGTCTGCTCTGTGCAACACCTCTGGTGGGCCCTCTCTGTTTGATGTTGCCCCTATTTACTTGCGGAACTGATGACAATAAATTGATGAGAATCAAAATAAGCAAGGAATCCTGCACGTCAAGTTAACAATTTATTTAACAATATTGAGTTATGCCTATAATAATGGCAATAAAATGGAAACAAGGTACCAGATAAGAAAACATGAGAATATGCTAGTTATATGAAATTCTTTGATAATAAAATGTTGAGACCATTTTTAACAGTGACACTTGTAAAAATGTAATTTAAAAAACAAAAAGACGAACAAAACTAGGAACAAATTTATTAGGAAGTAAAGAAAACCTTTAAGAGATATTTGTTGGTTGTCCTACCTGATTTTACAGGGGCCTTAGCCAAAGTTGATTCTAGAGTTGCCTTCTGGGGAGACTTTGTTTTGTCAACCTTTTTGGATAAATTAGTCATGCTCTGGCTACGCTGGCTGATAGTGGCTGTTGGACGTAGAGGTTGTCCCTTAGAAGCCTTAGTCTGGCTGTTTTTTAGGGTCACTGCCTTTGGTTTGGCAAATACATCAAACTTTGAATGGTCCCCCAACTTCCCACCACCGGTTGCTGGCTTTTTTGGTATGTCAGTGATAACTGTCTGCAACAGACCATCAACAGAAATAGATCTGCGCAGCTTTCTTTTATCTTCCAAAGCCTCTGACATGTTCCCCATAGCCATTGCCTCTGCCTCAACCAATTTGGCCTCAAACACATCTTTTTCCGTGACAATGAAATGCTCCTGGTGGTCGATTGAATATTCCTCCCTGATCTGCCTTTGATTTTCCAAATTAGCAGATGAGGATCTAGAACAGATATTTGATTCTTGCTGTTCCCTGTCTTTGTTCATCTTTAATTTAAGACAAAGGCTTTGTAAATTTTCCCCATAAGCTTCAGCCACTTGCTTTTTGTCAAACATCATGTGATCCACATTGCGGGAGTCTTCCAGATTGTTTCCTTGTAATGTGAGCTCTTGTATTTCTTCATCAATATCAGTTCCCATTGTGTCACTCATGGCATCATAGTACCTCTCACTTTGAGTGTCATAAAAGTTCTCCTCCTCACTTTCTTCATTTGTTATTGGGACAGCATTGTGAAGAGGTTCTCTTGTTCCAGTAGAGTAAACTTCACATGTAGTAGAACCTGAATTATTTCTAGCTACTGATGAAATATTCTCAGTAATTGGTGTTGGGTCAGGTTTAATAGACTGTCCACTCCTATATGAGACTGGCAATAAAAAAGATTCGCTTGTGGTAGGTTCAGGGGCATGGTGACATTCACTTATGCTTGGCACAGGTTCACAAGAACAGTTACTTGAAACTGGGACAGGAGGTGGGGTGGAATACTCACTCCCTTCCCCATTTGAATCCTTCGGACCATCACTTTTTGCATTACTTCCATCTGTATTACTTACTGCAGCAGAACTTTGGTTCAGAGAATCAGTGGTCTGGCTCGTCTCTAGGGAATCCTTAGTGATGTCCCCAGAGCTACAGCCATCTGAACCAACATCGTAATCAACAATTTTGGGTGTGATCAAGCTAACTGAAGTGATAGGCGACTTGTCTCCCTCTATGTCCTCCCAAACGTACCTCTTCAACCTTGAGTGATCTTCAAGATTTAACTTTGATGTGTTGCTGCTGCTGTTGACGTTATAATGCCTTGCATCACCTTTCCTGTTGGTACTGTCATCCATTTCTGTGTCACCAGGAAGCCTGTATTTAATGAAATCTTCTTGGAAATCAAGACGCCTGTGATCCATTTCAAGTACATTAAGAACCTTTGGGCTGTGGACAACATGGGTTGACCTCCGAGTCATTTGTGGATCAGGACTGTTGGGCAGCCTAGGTGGGGTTTGAAAGTGCCGAGGACTTACAACCAGTTGCTCTATGTACGTTTCTGTGGTTGACTTGACAACATCTGTCGTTTCCTTGACAACCAGAAACATTTCACCATCGATTTCCTCATAATGCTCCTCAACTCTAACCTGGATTTTCTCCTGGGTCTCTGTGTCATCTTCATTGATGCAGAACGCAGGTGTCCTGTGAGGCGACTCTGCAAATAACCTCTTCCTATTGTTCATGGCCGCAAGCAGAGCGTCAGAGGGCCGAGATTTAACAACTGTCACGGTACCACGCCTGGAGTGCTCCAATTCAGCCCCCGGGCTTGTCGGTAGGTCACCGGGAGAAAGGGGACAAAACCTCTGAGGGGACATTGATCTTTCTACTGCACTGACAACACGCTGCAATCTGCTGCTTTTGGCATCAGCAGGCTTCTCTGAAGGTTTTTTTGACCCACTTGAAATTTCAGATTCAAATGCTTCCTGCAGGCAACTTTCTTCTTCACCGACGACAACATCACTTAAATTTGACACCTCAATATCAGGGAATAATTTTCCTCTTCTTGTCAGTGATGAATTTCTGTTGGCACTACTTTCTGGATCTGCCTGAAGATCATCAAAGTATTTAATACTTTCCTCAAGGCATTCACCAGATTTGGCTTTGACGACAGTACCTGAGTGTACAACAGTAGCTGGGTGTACGACAGTACCTGAGTGTACAACAGTAGCTGGGTGTGCAGATAGAGCTAACTGCTTCGGAATATCCATACTCTGTTCTTTGATAGGTGTGGTCTCCTCAGTTAACATACTGCTGCTGCAGGCACTTATCTTCTCAAACTCACAGCATGAGAAATCTGGCAATTTAAGATTTACTTCAGATTTTGAATTACTACTGTCTTGAGTATGATGATTTTCACTTGTAAATTTACTCTTCACTTGCTTCATAGTCGGCTCCTGTTTGACTCTTTTTGGTGACCTTTTGGACAAAAAGGGCTTTGCAATGGGTGACCTTTTATTCAGTCTTTTTCCTGTTGGGGACCTTTTGGACGATTCCAGTTTTCTTGCTTCTGCCGCTTTTGTTTTTTTGACAAATAATGCCTGTCTTGGACTTGGAGCTTTACAAACATTGTTTTTGTTGTCAATTTGATCTTTTCTCAGTAAATATTTCACTTGCCCACTATTTGCCAAACCATTGCCATGTTTGTCCATGGCCGCGGCCACCATTGCCAATTTCTTAATCTCCTCCTTCTTAAACTGTGATGTGATGGACCTACGCTTAGGGCATCGCTTTAATGCAGCTTGCTTCACGGGGGTACTACCACCACTGGATCCACCAATGTGCGGAGAATTCAGGGATGACCTGATTTTATTGAGGTGGCTGACCATCACACTGTGAGGTATAGAGTTGTTCAACACCGAGAGAGGGCTTGGAATAAGAGGGGTGCTTGTATTCACAGATCCACCACTTCCACCAGATATGTCATGCCTCATGCTCCTCATGTCCTCTACGAAGGAGTTGGGGCTGACAATGCCCTGGCCCAGAGATATGAGACTGCAATTGATGCTTTGGTTCGGGTCTGTAGGTGACCCATCACTTGGTTTAGGGAGTTTCATCTGTGAAATTAAATTCAGGGACTGATTGAGAATAGTACCAGGGGATGCTGGGCTTGTGACCATGTCACATACTCCCAAACTTTTCTTTTGAATATTTGGTGAGGACCTGTCATCTCTTCTGTTAGCCTCCATGAAATTAGACCTAGACCTCACAGCATCAACGCCAGTTTTAGATTGCTCTGCTTCGGCGACTGATGGTGAGAAAGTCACTTCATCGCGCCTGATAACACGAGTCTCATCAACTATTGCCTTCCTTTGAACCCGCTCCACATCGGACACGTGTAGGCTCTCCCCACATATTTCTGATGTCCTGTCTTCACTGCCTTCCAGCTCCTTGCTCTTTATTTTAGTGTATTCAGACTTCACGCGTGGATAGGGGACAACAAAAGTTTTCTTCAATGCGTCGCTCGAATGTTCAGAGTGTGATTCTTTAGTGGCCTTGCCAACGTGTTCATTTTCTTTCCCTATTCTGGATAACCTTTCAGGCCTGGTGTCATTCGGCTGGAAATAGGAGTCAACGGTGATTCCATATTCATTGTCCTCTGTGTGTGGGATGGGACTCATTGTGTTCAGGGTTGGAGATGTAATGTCAGAGATGTTCCTCCACTGTCTCCTGTTTTTCTGACTCAGCTGCCCCTTGTCATGCAGTCCTGTTAATGCCGTGGACTCCAATGGTGTGGGTGTCTTAAAACATTCCTCTTCAGCCCTGAAGATCTTTGGGGCTCTCACTTCTGCTCCAGACTCAACTTTCACAGAAGAACCTTCAGTGGTTTTCAGGCAATGCTCCTGCACGATCGCTTTTGTGTCGTAGTTGTTGTCCTGGCTCACTAGCTCACGACTGTTCTCCTTGTTGATGATTTGATCCAAGTCTTCCAACATTTCCCTAACTTCCTCACTACGTTTAGGACTGTAGCTGGATTTAATGCTTGAAAGAGCTGGTGTTTGTAGTACTGAAGGCGGTTCCCTTAACCGACCTCCCATTGGAAATTTTCTCTGTAATAACAAGAATGTCTCTTCCTTTTATAAAAATCTTGATATATGTGAACACAAAATTATAATTTTACCAAAAGTTGTATACATTTTTCTGAGCATTCTATTTCTATTGTTTTTTGGCGTGAAAAAGTCTGTGTTTTTTTAAAGTAAGGACTATAACTGAACAGTAAATTATCAAATAATACAATGAAATGTTATTCAAAATTTTTCCTTGTCTCCCTTGAATTTCATTCATGTTTTGTATTTTATATGAATAAAGAATGGAAAAAGAGTATGGAGAAAGAAATGGAGAAAGAAACACTTTCTCTATGGTGAAAGAAACACTTTCTCTATGGTGAAATAAACACTTTCTCACCACTTTACGAGGGGGTTTCGGTTTCTCCACTACTCCAATAATGAAAGCCTGAAGCCTGTAAAAGTCATTGATATGAAACTGGATCATTTCACGAAAACCCCCAGCTTCTTCAGGGGAGAAGGTGATTTCAAGAGAGACCATATCTTCAGCTGGAACAACAAATCTGAAACAAATTGAGCATTGAGACTGCACAATGAGGTACACTACTCACATAAATTAATAAATTATAAACTTTATAACTACATCATCTATATTAATTGACCACATCTTTAAATATAGGTCAATTTTTTTGTTGTAAATTTATGTATTTAATTTTTTTTAAAGGTATAAAACCAAAGTTGTCTTAAAGTTGAAACATTATTTAGTAGCTATTGATACATACAACTAAGACACACAAAAATAATTTGGAAGTAAAAAGACAAATAACATACCTTGTGCGTTCAACCATAAATTTTTTCTTGAACGGAAACCTTTCAATAATTACCTCTTGCTCAAAATCATGTGGGTTCCTTAGTATTAATGTTCTGAACTTCTTTTTCCCTACCATAATTTTTCCAAAGTTTATTTTTGGTGGGTTTGTAAAGTGAGTTAAAATTAGTGTCTCCACAGTATCAATGCTCGTCCTTTTAGAGGCCATTTTTGCCATTTCTGGTTTTCCCCCCGTGGGTGGATCTAAAGATGTCAGTGGAGGTGCATCAAACCAAGATCTTCTGGATTTTTTTGTTGGAGTACCAGGTGCAGAAGGTGTTTCTGCACCTTGGCTGGATGCCATGGTAAAGTTTTTATTTAAGATTATCTGTTATGCCATGTTTACTATGTATCTGAACATGTTTGAAGGTAAGCAATCTCCAAGGCAGGTTTAGATAATTTGATCTGCAGATTGAAATAAAAAAATTTTTTACAATGAAATTGGGTAGAACACAGGGGTCAACTCATATTGAAAGTGAGGATTTTTTTTAAAAAATCATACTAATCATTTATTTTAAAAAATATAACTGGAAGATCATTAGAAATGTCTAAAAGGTCATTACACCATACATTTTACTATTACAATTTAATGAATTTATTTTTTTAGGAATGTGTCTGTATCTAATAGCACATGGGTTGTTTGCTGGTAAACCTGTATTCATGTGTGGCAAAATGATATATTGTATGTCTAAAAAGTGTGTCACCATCACGAAAAGTTTGTCAAGCCCACCTATAGCTAGTATAAGGTATAAGCCTATACACGAAACTTATACTCCCTATAACTATACAGTTTAAATAGACAAATATAAGGAGCATACCCGGATGTCTAGGGCAGTGGTCGACAAACTCAGTCAAAAGAGCCAAAAATCAACAGGACGTTTACATTTTTTTTGAGAGCCAAATTTCTTTTCAAGAACCTGTCAAGAACCATGTTTTTCGGAGTCAAAATCAATTTGTGGCCAACTGGCTGAGCCGCATTCAGGTCCCTAAAGAGCTGCTGGTCTAGGCCATTCATGTAAAATAATGATTTTTTAACCCCCTTCTCAAACCTCTATAAACCCCCCACCCACCCACTAAAAATAATGTCAAAATTATTAATTAATGTTAAAATTAATGTTTCAAATCACTTATAATTTTGTCACTCTATGAAGTTAATGTGGCTCTGCAATCTGATAACTCAGTCCAATTTAAATTTTGGCTTCTTCTAATCAACTAAAATTAATTATTGGCATATATTATGATATTGATATATTAAAAACATTTTTTTAAACTCATTAAGATATAAATGTGAGGTTTTCAGATAACGATTTTAATTGTTCTTTGGTTCCTATCATAGGCCCATGTAGTTCTGTAGAGAAAAATCACTCTGCTCTGTCCACTCCTCAGCCTCCTGTCTAAAGTGTCTACTATACTGTATGGGGTCGTCCATAAAGTATGTCACGCTATTTTTGACCATTTTTACCCCTCCCCCCCCCCCCCCCCACCACACTTTCGAACAAAATTTTTTTTAAATTAAAACCTAAATTAAAATTTAATCTAAAACACATTTCACTATTAAACTGTATTAAAATATAAAATTTCCTTTTAAAAGAACTATCACATTATTAAAATGACTTTAATAGTAGAATAGTCAATTGTTAACAGTTGTCAGCAGTAACTCAATCTAGATTGAATTTGAAAACAAAAATTGCAAAAATTAGACTAGACAATTATTGAATTATATAAGACATCATTTATCTGATGCTTTTTCATTTACAATAGGTGAGGTCAAGTTTTAGATAATCTTCCAATTATGCAATCTTTTTACACAGGATTAGAAGTAGATTAGCGAAACGTGACCTCACCCAGTGATTAAATAATAAAAAAGGATAGTGACATAATTAGGCAGCGGACAACATAGAAATAATAATACTTCAGGCATGACGAAAGCAAGCCTATACATAAAACAAGGCTTCGCAACAGCATACTAGCACTCCTAGTGAGAGGAATCATGAACAACACATTCAGGAGATACGCATTTCATGCTATTTTGACATAAAACTAATTCAAATGTTTCACAAAATTTTTGAAAATTATTTTTAAAGCTATTAAATTCTACTAAAAAAATTAAAAATAAAATAGAAATAAAATTTAAAAATAAATGTGTGACTTCACAAATGGCCTCACACCCCCTCCCCTCCCCCCCGTCTCAAACTGTCACACTTTCTTACACCCCCTCCCCCCCTCTGGAGCGTGACTGTGACATACTTTATGGACGTCCCCTAACTGTAACCTTCCTGTTTACAAACTTAAAAACTACAAGACTCCTATACTATGTTATTTTTCAGAAATCATACCAATTCCAAGGAAATATAAGGTACTTTGCAACAATGACTTACACTTACACCCTGTCGCACTTACCTCTGTACTCTGTTGTAATGAAATGTTTTGAGAAACTTAGATTCACTGAGACTGAGACAAATTTTGAATGAAGTAGTCAAAAACTTGACCCCCACCAATTTGCTTATAATTATAAACCTGCCAGAATCAGAAGCACGGAGGATGATATCTTACTATTGAAACTACATATTACAGACTATAGTATAGCTTAAGTATTATTTGTATTGGAGAGACTTCACTTCTTTATTTCTTTATCTTTACCATCACTAACTGACACTAACATCATAATTCATAATCATAGGCCTAGGCCTTCGGCTAAGGTCTAGGCCTAGAGACAGCCCTAAAAAATGGTTACCGGAAATTTGTTTTAAAAAAATTTCGTTGACGGTAAATTGATCGACGGTAATTTGATCGACTGGAAATTTGGTCAAATCTTTTTTTCAGTTCACACGTTAAAATTTTCGTCAAATTTCTTTTTGAACGCACTGTACTATATAGTAAAACAAAATAATGCGTTCAAAAAGACATTTGAAGCAAAATTTAAACGGAAAAACGGAAAAAAAGATTCGACCATATTTCCGTTCGATCAAATTACCGTCGATCAATTTACCGTCGACGAAATTTCTTTCGATAAAATTTCCGGATACGCTAAAAAATATCATATGCCAGAGCGCTTTTCTTAGACTTCGCATCAGCATTTAACACTGTCAAACCACACCAAATGATAAAGAAACTTTCCTCGTAAATTTAAATATTCAAGTTTGGATACTGTCTTACACTGTCTAAGTCTACTGTACGTTGCTTATTCATTTAAAATTTATTGCCCTGTTGACTGATCGAGCTTATCTAAAAGTCATTTTAAAGTATATATGTGGTGAAAAAATATTGTTTAAAAATAATTCGTACGCAAACTTACAAATTTTGGTATAATAAATGGTATATACTTGAGATGTAGAATTAAATCCAGAGCACAATTAAATCGAACAATGTGACTTAAGACTCGTGAAGTTTGTTTATGTTTTCAAAATTTGAATGGGTAACTGTTAACTAAAGTTGACCAATCAAATTAGAGCTTGAAGACAAATTTAAAATGACTCATAAGTCGTAAATAGTGTCGCAAAATTTCATTTTTGAAACATTATTTTAAAATAAATCTGATGTTTTGTTATTTGTTGGTGAATTGTGTAAATATTTTTAAATTTAATATTACTATCATAATAAAAGTCACATATTTTGTTTAAATAGTTAGTGATTTTTTGCATTTTCTACTTTCGTTTTCGAATTCGTTTGTAGTTTCAAATTCAATTAGTTTGTAATCGTAAGTTTGTAAGTAATAATAGTTCTATTTCGTCAGTTTCGACGTGTCGTATGTTTGTGGATATTCTCAAACTCAAGAACATTTAATTTTAATGTATTTTTCAGCTGGACTTCACACAGTCACTTTTTACGTAGCTAAATATTATTAATTTATTTTAAGATAAGATGCATGTCCCTAAGGCAAAATAGTAAGACTAAGACTGCTAAGATTACTAAGAAAGAGTAAGAGTAAGTGAACTAAGAGTAAGAGTAAGATTACTAAGAATCAAGAAGAGCAAGTTAGTAGTTTAACTCTTATCAAGTTAGAACTCTACATCTGGTCTAGCGTGTAAGTTAGTTAGAAGTATATAACAGTATGAGTAATCACTCACTTAGACTTAGACTTAGTTACTTTGTTTCAATTTGTTAAGTTCCTAAATATCGAACTATTGTATTTGTATGTATGTAGTGTAGGCATATCCATATGCCTATTATTGCCAACTACTATTATATTACTATTTATAGTAAGTCCTTCAATCACTCGCGCCTGAAGTTGAAGAATCGTGTAGGGTATGATATAATTATAATAGTAAGATAAATTATCATTTTTTAAACCTATCACTATTAAATAATTCTCAATTGTGATACTGATTAATAATAATATTAATTATAAAATCAATCCATGATGACAAATGATGAGGTATTTGTATTGATGATTGATGTGATCTCATTAAATGTTTTAGAGTAACAACAACAAAATACAAAACATAATCAAAAACCCTCCAAGTCTAACAACATACTACTCTGTTAATTGGTTAATCAATTAAATTTATAATAATATTGACAGCATTTGATGGTCAGCAAGTTCATTTATTCATTGAAGGCATTGAATCTTGCTATCAATAAATTAATATCAATGAGTAGGTTCAGAGATATTACTATTACTTCATAAGACATAAGGAAGGATATTTATTAATTGATTGTATTTTAAGTTATAAAGCATGTCATAATAGTATGGGTAGGTCAAATGTCAATATATATATTATACATTTATTTTCTTTACAATGAAATGGCATAGAACAGATGACTGAGTTGATGGATCAATTTTATTTATAAAAATTTATTTCTGAAATTTATAACACATTTCAATTAAAATTGCTTGAATTTTCTATAATTATAATGAAATTCAAGTTATCTTTTTAGGGAAATATAATTCTAAACAAATTTACATTTTAATTTTTAAAAATCCCTGTTCACTACTTCACAGGAAGAGGTGATTTGAACTGTTGATTAGAAAAAATGGAACCTATGGATTTGGATAGTGATGGTGATTCAAGTTTTAGATGGTCGCACCAGAGATACTCTACTGGCCTTCAGTCTCCCCTTCCAGCCAACAATACTCGCTCTGGCTCTGATGTTTCTGATATGGATATTGATGCACATTCTCCAATGCATAAGCCAAATGATCTTAAGTCTTCAGCCTCCTGGGATTGTATTAGTAATGTACTAAGTTCAGTTTTATCCATTAAACAAGGCTGTGATAGTGATACAAATGACTTTGCTGAACAATCTCAAGAAACAAAACCCACAACTTTTGGTAATATTGAACTGCCTGCATTACATATTTCAAATATGACCAATGAACATACTAATCCAAGGGACCCAACTCTTACAAATGTGCAAGGTGCCGCTGCTTTAAAAAATGGAATTAAAAAGCCAGGGTATGGTCTCCCGGAAGAAGATCCTTTGTTTGCTCATTTCCCTCAATCCCACAGTAAGACCAGTGATGAAAATGTCTCTTTTCGAAGGAGACCTATACTGCAATCACTAGATAGAAAGCCTGTGCTTCCAAATAATATAAGTATAAGGCCGCTTGTCAAGAAACTCTCAGACATAAATTCTCAGGAGCTTTCAGAAAGTGGTTCTAGAAGATTTTGCAGCTGCAAACAGTTTTTCCTTTTATTTTTTGTGTGCATAATTTTTGGCCTTGTTGCTTATGTGATTTATTTACAAAAGCAAATTTGCAGATCGGACAACTTCTTTAACAAAAAGGTTTTAGAAATAGATTTAGAAGCAAACGTTTTTGGTCAGCATATTGCCACTAAAATTATACCTGATAAAATTGATGAATACATGCATAGATTCCACACGAATCATGATCTTTCACTGTCTGCCTTTGAGTATGAACTACAAAAAGCTCCTCTTTGCAAACCCTTGGTTCTTTCATTTCATGGGTGGACAGGCGTTGGCAAAAATTACATAAGCAAGATTATTTCTGATTCATTTAAGCACTCCAAAGTTTCTCACTTCATCATGCCATTCCATTTCCCTCACAGAACATATGAAAGTTTGTACAGGGACCAAATAGAGCAATGGATAGTCGGCAACACCACATCATGTGTAGTCAACGTGGTTGTGGTTGATGAAATGGATAAAGCTTTCCCCAATGTTGTTGAAGGTATTGCCAATGCCATCACTTCCTTAACTCAGCCCTGCTCACTTGCCACTCCAACTTTGATCCTTTTGCTCTCAAATTCACATGCAGTTGATATCAACAGAGCCTTTCTAAAATTTCTTAGCACCTCCACTGACAAAAAAAGAGAAGAGTTTTCTTTAGAAGATCTTGGCTCAATTTTTTATGATAATTCTGAGTGGTGGTACTCTTATCTCTTTGACAAGAAGCTTCTAGATGCATTTGTTCCATTCTTACCCCTAGAGAAGACACACGTCATTCAGTGCATCAGAAGAGACCTGGTGGCTAAAAGATTCTCCACAGACTCTCAGAGCATTGATAAAATTCTCAAAGAACTCAGCTTTTCAATGTTTGGAAACCTGGAGCTTTCTAGCACAGGGTGCAAGAGAGTAGCAGACAAAGTGGATTACATCATGCTCGATAAGCCTTGATGTGTTCATGAACTCTAACCTTTGTATCAGCATTTACTTTGTTTTTTAAAATTTTGATGGCTTTGTGCTTATTTAATCCATCATTGGATTAGAAAGAATTGGAAAACAAATATTCAAAAAGCTTTTTGATTGTTTCATACAAACAATTGGTGTTGTAAAATGGTGTTAGTAATATAGCCTACATTCAGCTTGAAAACTTTACTGAGCATAGTTAAATTAATTTCCTTGTAACTTAAGATTAAAATACTTTTGTATACCACCACAGAAAACTTGGGGGTCATCCATTAATTATGCGTGCCCTGAGAGGGGGTGTTGATCAGATCAGCATTGTGAGTGGGGTTGGGGGGAGGTGCTAAACAAGCTCAAATACATCATTGGCGACCGTCAATGTAATCTTAACCAAATGACGTCACTGACATAATTGACTAACATAAAAATTTACTTCTTTGGAAGTGTTGCCTGAAGACCTGTCAGAATGTTTGTTGTTTACCGGTACTTGAAAGTTGAATACTTAAGTGTGTGAAAATGTACCAAATTACTATGTATTTATTATTATTTTTATTATGTTTACTTGACCTTTGCTTCATTTCATCATAACTTTTATATAATTTGTAATTGTTAATTTATTAAATTTATTTATCCTACTCATGACACAACTTATTCTATATTTAAAAAGGTGTTACATAGATATATTTTAGTCCTTTTTAAAGAAGTAAATAACATCTGTTTATCCTGGTACGGTTGACCTTCTTTCTCAACAATGGGTGTGGCAAATAAAAGAATGTTTAATGTTAAAGTGTGTTTCTTTTAATTTTCACTACCCCATTGCTTCATAGTAAAAATAAACCAAATATAAATAAGCAGTTGGGGGTTGGTTGATTTAAACAGTTTATTAAGGAAAGGGGGCTACCAGTACTTCATAGTTACAGTCGTTTGGAAGAAAAATTCATGACTGAGTGGGACCTCCAAGAATCTCTCCAAATACTCTCTGTAAGCCTACAATTAATTGTCTCTGTATCTGCGGCTTCGAGAAAGAGGAGCTTTTCAAAAAATCAAACATATAAAGATCAATTAGCGATCTAACACAAAACAGTCCAGCCTACCTTATGTTGCGATTTTGTCAGGTGAAAGTGATAAGGTGAAGAATATCAATTTTGTCAAATTCTTTGAAGAAGTGATGTTTGCATCTTTGAAGACCAGGAAAGTAAATGTTAATAATAATGTTTCAATAATACAAAGTAATTTGATGCATTTCTTTAAACGCTGTAAGCTGAAATTCAGTGTTTTCTTCTCATGTCAGATGTTACTTTAGGACTTAACTTTAATAACAATACTGCACTGCAAGTTATTATTAGCCATCCTTTGTTTTTTTTTTTGTTTTTTTTTTTTGGGGGGGGGGGGTTTTAGGACCGTTTACAGGTTAAAAAAAGAGGGGGGGGGGCAGGTGATTCTTCAGTGAAAAGGGAGAAGGGTGTGTGACACTATGAGTGACGCCTCTGCCACCAATTTTTTTTTATTTTATTGCTGACAAACTTGAACACATGCCTTTAAACTGCAGCTGGTTGTACATTGGTCTGTGCATGGGCGTGGCGCTTTCAACACAATTGCTTCAAACTGTTTAGATCATCAATTTAAAAAAAAAATCAATTTCATGTTTTGGCACAGCGGTGAACTTAGGGCCGCGCGAAAAAAAAAAAAAAAAGTGGGGGTGTGAGACCGACCCGGGTGGCACTGTGCGGAATTATAACTTTTTACAAACATTATATTATTTATATTTGACTATTTTTTATTTAATTTTTCAAGCAAAGTGTTGGCTGACTATTTAAGTCTAAAGAGCCCTCATATTACACACTAGCCACGTCACTCATCACCGGCATATACAACGGTACTTGAGTATAACAGCAAAGACTTTTAACAGTCACACCAGCAGACGACCGACACACATAAAGCGCCATCGACAGTGTGCCGTTCACCGTGGGCAGTATGCCAAAGCAAACAAAATAGTTGATGATATTTACTAAGTACCAACAGCGAGCATTATTCCTCGCGCACATAATTTCATCCCAATCGCAAGATAAGGTAATCGAATGACGCTGGTTTCTTCTCGAGTGCTTTCCCTTTCACCCCAACCGCCATCCTCACATCTCGGTGGATGGCCTACAAAGAACCCACTCGTTCTTGCCTACGCGGTAGCCACTCATCTCTTTACATATCGATCAAGTTTACTTGTTAGTTTTTATAACATTACTTTTGCATTATACACATTACTTATTATAACAAATAAGGTATCATGGTATACAAACTCATGAACTCCACTGTGGGTAAAGTGGTGTCTCGGTACCACAATGGCCACACATTTTGAGATCTGCTGTCCAAAAAGGTTTTTATGACGGTCATGTGCCTGTGATTTACAGTGTGTATGACGTTGTGTCAACTTACTTGGACGTATTGGTCATGGCATGACATGAATGGCTGCATAATTTATAAGCACTCGCAGAGACCCGCTTTGTTATGCAAGGGTGATTACTGCACAATGGTACTGGCACGGTTATCTGTGCATACCACAAACAAGTTTTGGTTATTTGTACATACATAACAATCGAGGTGCATTTACAGCACCTTGACACGTGATAAGACACCGGCAAGGCACAACAAGATCAAGCAGTCAGCCAAGTTAGACCTAGTAGATAAAACCATCTCCGCTGAGCCACTATCAAAGCTAATCTGTATATCCAATTGAATTATAAAAGGTTAAGAACCTCGAGTTGCATGTTACATAAATAACTCTTGTATTTCCAAGCCAAAAAAAAAAAAATATTATCCCAGCATTCAATTTATTTTAGGCTACCGCAGCTCAGGGGCGGCATAGTTGGGGTTAGTGCCATCAGGAGCGGGCATGGATTTTTGAAACCCCCAACTCCTAAAAAAAAAAAACCAAAAAAAAAAGTTGGCTGAAAATGAACCCCACCAAATTCACCAATACTTACAGAAAAAGTGACGCTCAGGGCAACCCACTCAAAGTCCCTTTCCTACGCCACAGTAGTAAAGTAAAAAAAAAAAAAATACAACGTCCCATTAAGAATTGTTTCTCGATACACACAAACCATGTACTACACGCTTGGTATGGAGGGATTCCAAGAACCATGTACTACACGCTTGGTATGGAGGGATTCCAAGAACCATGTACTACACGCTTGGTATGGAGGGATTCCAAGAACCATGTACTACACGCTTGGTCTGGAGGGATTCCAAGAACCATGTACTACACCCCTGGTATTTAGGGATTCCAAGAACCATGTACTACACCCCTGGTATTCAGGGATTCCAAGGACCATGTACTACAACCCTGGTATTTAAGGATTCTAATGACCATGTACTACACCCATGGTATTTAGGGATTCTAATGACCATGTACTACACCCGTGGTATTTAGGGATTCTAATAACCATGTACTTCACCTCTGGCATTGAGGTGAACAGGCGTCACTCTAGGCTTGGTGTCACCCGGTGCGATAAAATGATGGTGTCATCTCCTTTCTTTTTCAGCCTCAACCTCCAACCTGCACAGAGTAATTCTTTACCAGATCAAACAGAATCTTTATGTCAAACAGAATCTTTATGTCAAACAGAATCTTTATGTCAAACAGAATCGTTATGTCAAACAGAATCTTTATGTCAAACAGAATCTTTATGTCAAACAGAATCTTTATGTCAAACAGAATCTTTATGTCAAACAGAATCTTTATGTCAAACAGAATCTCTACGTCATACAGAATCTTTATGTCAAACAGAATCTTTATGTCAAACAGAATCTTTACGTCATACAGAATCTTTATGTCAAACAGAATCTTTATGTCAAACAGAATCTTTACGTCAAACAGAATCTTTATGTCCAACAGAATCTTTATGTCAAACAGAATCTTTATGTCAAACAGAATCTTTATGTCCAACAGAATCTTTATGTCATACAGAATCTTTATGTCAAACAGAATCTTTATGTCCAACAGAATCTTTATGTCATACAGAATGGTTTATAGAACTGTTTGTAAATTAAGGCCTAACGCAACAAAAGACACATGTATCAAACAATGAATTCAATGTACCGTTAAACAATGCAACAAAATTACATATCTAAAAATAGACATTTAACTTAGCTGTAAAACCTTGACCGTACTGGTCTTCAAAGATGCAACACTGTACATCGCATCACCAAAATTAACAGTATTCATCTTGCACAGTGGCGACGCTACACCAGGTCCCGCCGGGTCCCAGGACCTGGTAAAAAAACTTGGGACCTGGCAAATGACCTGGTCAGTTTTTATTAGTTACTAATATTGTATATATGCTCATTAAGCGTAAACTACATTACATGTAAGAGAACTTCCATTTTAAATGCCTTTATATGTTTACATTTTTATTTTTAATACATTTATTTGGGACCCGCCAAATTTTTTTAAGACCTGCAAGGGACCCGCCATGTTAAATTTGATGGCGTCGCCACTGATCTTGCATATATCCCTTTTAAATTGACAAAGCTGCTGAACCAGAAAGACTGGACTGCTCCAGGGTAAGTCACGAAAAATTCTTTATGAGTTTGCAGTTTTGAAAAGTTCCCGTCACATGAAGCCACATACAAGCAAATCGTGAAAAATAATTGTAGGCTTAATGAGAGGGTTGGGAAAGATTCTAGTTCAGTGTTTTTTTAACTGGGTTCCCGCGGAACATAACGGTTTCATGAGCGCCAGCCAGGGGTTCCAAAGGTGGTCAGTAATGAGTAATGAAAGCAATACAAAAAAAAAAAAAAAAACCCACCAACAGGCCATTGATCTTTTGTTTATTGTCTGGAAGAGGAAGTCAAGTGTTTTCTCTTTACGAAACCTCCATAGTCAATTTATATTTTTTTTTTTTTTAATGCTTGTTCAGTGGCATGCTCCACTATTAATTAAATGTGGTTCTCATGCAGGAAGAGTATTGGCGCCACTAAAAAGAAATACAAAAAAAAAAAAAAAAACCCACCACACAGCCATTGATCTCTTGTTTATTGTCTTGCAGAGGGAGTCCAGTGTTTTCTCTCTACTGAAACTCCATAGTCAACTTATAATTTTTTTTTTTTTTAATGCTTGTTCAGTGGCATGCTCCACTATTAATTAAATGTGGTTCTCATGCAGGAAGAGTATTGGCGCCACTACACTGGTAGCCACTACACTGGTAGCCACAGTGTGAAGCGTATTAGTCCGAGTGTACTGCCCAATAAGATTAGCTTGCTCAGGGCTCGGGTAAATCAGTCTAAATGTAAGGGAAGCAGAGAAACGTGAAATTAGCGACAGCCGACAAAAGACTTTGTGCCATACCTCGTGTGTCCAAACAAAGCAGTGGTTCTCAACATTTCTAATGCCGCGACTCTTTAATACAGTTCCTCATGTTGTGTTGACCCCCAGCCAGAAAATTATTTTCGTTGCTACTTCATAACTGTAGAGTTTTTGTGTTTTCCGATGGTCTTAGGCGACCCCTGTGAAGGGTTCGTTCGACCCCCAAAGGGGTCGTGACCCACATGTTGAGAACCGCTGAAATACAGCTTTATTGGTCGACCCAAATTTACCCTTGGATTGGTTTTACTACAGCATGTTTAGCACCTCAGCGTTGGTAGTATTTCAGATCCATGATAAGCACCTCAGCGTTGATAGTATTTCAGATCCATGATAAGCACGTCAGCGTTGATAGTATTTCAGATCCATGATAAGCACCGCAGTGTAGATAGTATTTCAGATCCACGACAAGCATCTTCTTCACACGACGGCGATGGACCAGAACATTTATAAACTCACTCTTAGCTTTTGGTGCAAGATATTAATACAATTTTTTTTTCAGTTTACACGTCAGCCGTTTGAAAGTCATTACGTGCAGCACTGGGTGTTCTTTAGAGAGCATTTCAACCA